ACTTTCCTCAACGGCCTCCCTTCGCTATGGTATCGGAACGGCCAACATCAGCTACGTTCGTGATGACGTCTCTTTTGCCGGATCACCAGTACTCTCTCACGTACGTTTTGGCATGGCTACGGCTACGACAGATCAGTTCGCCGGCATCCTCGGCCTCGGTCACGGCCAAAACTACACAGTCACCTACCCGAACATGATGGATGAGCTTGTCGCTCAGGGTGCCATTCGCACAAAAGCCTACTCACTCGCCCTAGGCTCCAAGACCGAACAGCAGGGCCTCCTTGTCCTTGGCGGCATCGACACGGCAAAGTACTCAGGTCACCTCGCGGCGCTGCCCGTGATCCCCGCCGAGCATGCCCCCGACAGGGTCGCCCGCTTCTGGGTCAACCTCAGATCCCTCGCCCTGACGCCCCCAAGCGGCGTCACCCGCGCTCCCTACGTTGCTGCCGCCGGCCTCCCCGTCTTCCTTGACAGCGGCGCCACCATGACCCTTCTGCCACGCGCCCTCGCCGACGCCGTCGCCGCCGACTTTGGTGCCCCGCCTTCCAACTCGTCTGATGACCCCGAGGCCAGTCACAGCTTCTACGAGGTCGACTGCAGCATGGCCGACGCCCCCGGCACCCTTGACTTCTCCTTCGGTAGCAGCCTCACCATCCGTGTGCCCTACGCCGAGATGGTGCGCCGCACGCGCGCCGACCCGCCCCGCTGCGTCCTGGGCTTCGTGCCCGACGATGACTTTGCCCTGCTCGGCGACACGTTCCTGCGCTCCGCCTACGCCGTCTTCGACCTCGAGTCTGACGTCGTCTACATGGCGCAGTACCGGAACTGCGGCGAGCGCCAGATGGCTGTCCGCAGGGTCCAGGACATTCACGCCATTGTCGGCTTGTGCGAGGCGCCGGCGACAGGGGCTGCGCTGGGAGGAAAGCCAGCTCAGCCGTCACAAGCTGTGGCTGCGCCCGACACTACGCCGACGGAGGACGCGACGTCCGTGACCGGGCCGGGCGTCGTGGGTGTGTCTGCGGCTGCCGGCTTGTCATTATCTAGAGCTTGGATCTGGAGCATAGCGTTTGCTATGGTTTCGGTTCATTTGGCGTGAACTTCTTTCTATTCTCGAGCTGGTGCCCCGTAGCGTGGCACATGGCTTAATCTATTTTATTCTTCTTCTTCTTCTGGCAAACACTGCCCGCCTCCAAGCTCTCGTGCTGGGTTCTGATGCTCTACTGACTGAGACAGAGAAAATACATGTCTACTCCCAAAATAGTCCTGGGTCCTTCGCGCCCGCCAGCCAATTCTCCATGCAGCGGTACATCCGCCCCCACGTATCTTGATCCTTCACAGTGGCGAGCTTTGTGTCAACCTCGTAGCCTAGAGACGCCTGTGCTGCCCCCAGGTAGCGGTAGCCCTCGGGGTATTTTGCGAGAATTTCGTCCGGGAACGTGGGGGTCGAGCGGCCGTCGACGGGCACCACGCGATCCTTCTCGTACACAAGCTTGACGAAGCGGACTTTCCAAGCCGTCTGAGCATGGTGCTGGTGCTGGTGCTGAAAGTTGCCGTTTGTGGCACCTGTGGCATTTGGTTCCTGATCGACAGCGCTTCGACGTTCCATAGTTTCTGAGCTCGTGGTTGCCTCAGCACCATCAGATTGTTGGTCGTCGGAAGCTGCCTCGCCTGTGCTGGACTTCATCCCACCCTCAAACACCTTGCCGTTCGGTGCGTCAGCTTTTGTATGGGGCTGGCTGATATCAACGACGGGTTGTGCCTCGCAGAAGAACAAGAAGCGACAATCGCAGTCGACATCAAACGCATGTCCACCGTCCACAGAGGTGAAGCGCTGAGTGATGGTCGCCTTCATCTTGCCCAGGGCGCGGCCTGCTTCGCGGTTGAGCTCGACAAGAGTGCCACACTCGCGGTGCTGGATGAAGGCACCGGCAGCCTTGCCGGCTTTCGAGATGGATATAAAGTCGTCGATCTTCCGAGGGCCAGACCATGCTATTGGGAAACACTCATTAGAACCAGTTGCTTCACTGCTTTCTCAGCTCAACAAAGATTGAAAGATTCAGTAACTAATAGAATGAATCGATGATTCACAACTGACGGAGACTCACTTGTCCAGACGGTGGCATCATCTGCAAAGAGAGATCGAAAGTTCATCCATTCCGAAGCATCGCGGTAGACTGGCCAGCCTTTGCAGAGCTCAGATACAACAAGACGGTCGTGAAGGTCGGCGACAGTACCGTTGATGTGACTGTACTGTCGCGTGTGCGGTTCTTCAGGGGTCGTCATCTGGTCTCTGTGTGTTGTGTTACAGACAGCGTACTGGATATGAGCGTCGAGTGCATAGTCATACACCATCACGGCGAGAGTGAGAGCGAGCCCTGTTTTATACTCGACGCTGGTCTTCACGTCGGCGCATGTACAAGCGCGTTGTTTGCCTTAGAGACAGGCAATAAGAATAGCCGGCGGACAGACGAGCAGTGTCTTCGCCCCCGAGATGCTGATATATTGACCGCAGCCAAACGGGCGCTCACTTCATCCTTGCGGCCAAAAGTCCACTACGATCACCACGGTACTGCTTGGCCAGACCGAAAAGGCGGCTTGCAGCATGCGTCAGGCAAACTGCGTGAAGCAACCGCCTGCGAGTCGTTACGAGCCAGGGGCAGAGAGGCTGCAATCTAAGACAGCTGCTGGTGAATGTCGGCCATATCAACATCATCTCTGTTTTTAATTGCATGTGATCTTCCCTGGACTGTCTCGACCGAAACCATAGAATCACTACCATACCGATTAATGAGAGCCCTGCAATCGCTTCGTATCGCCATCATCGAAGGCCGCCATGCAACCGAGCGCTATCGGTCGGTCGAAGGACGGCGTGGCGCCGAGTGACCAAGTCTCGGCCAACGGCGGCCGGGGACGTTGCCGTTGGTCAAGACGCAGGCACCCGCATGAGGAGTGACAGCGGGCGGAAGGCCGCATCGGGTGGTCCAGCGGCGCACCAACATCGGCGAGGAGATCAAGGCCAGGGCCGTCATCTCCCTGCCCATCCCTCTCTCTCGTTCTCCCGTCTTGGACCTTCGATCGACCTCAACCTATGAGGCCACATGTCCTCCGTCTCCCTGCATCTCCTTGCTCTCTTAGCCCGTCGGCGAGTTTCTGACTACTGCTTCATGTTGCGGAAGCTTTTCGTCAAGAAAAGTTAAACTTGCAGAGGAGACCCTGCTCCAAAGTCAAAGACACTTTCGTTTGGCACCCTGGCGCGCCACTCCCTTCCAGTTTCCCCTTCTGTCTCGGCACTGCATTTCGCCGCCCGCCATGCGAGTCAGTGTGGTGCCGCTGACAGATACACACTGGAGCGTCGTGCCATGGAAGAAACAGTTCCTAGGCCATATAGAGACAGGCTCAGGCACAGATACAGTCACAAGGGGTAGGCCGGGGGTGCCACTCACACGACCCCCATTTCTGCCTCTGTCTCGCGAACGCGCGCGTTGAGGGTTGAGGGTGACGCGAAACTTTCCCTCCCCCCGTTCCCCGCCGGAAGCTTCGGTTTTTTGTTCCACACGGCAGTGAAAAGCAGCGCAAGACAAGGCGTGCGATGCCTTGATTGCCCCCTGTCGCCCATGCTCCACGTCGCCTCGACCATCAGCTCTGGCTTTCCCGCCAACCCAAGCTGGGGGCTGCCATGCCCCCCCCCCCCTCTTCATGCCACATGCCATGTGCTATAGCCCCTATAGAGGTTAGGCTTATGGGCATGTCTTTTTAGGTTTCCGGCTTATAGGCGTAATAAGTACAGCAGCGCCCGCAGGGCTCGACAAAAACAATGGGCAATGCTGGTCGGCCATCTTCGAGACCCCGGGCGCCGCGTCACCCCCCCTGGACTGCCGAGGAAATTCACTGGTGATCTTGTATACTTTGACATTTACTCTCTCTCTCTCTCTGCGTGTGTCGCTCTCGGATTCCCGGTATTGGGGTGTCGAACTCCTCGGGAGTAAGGTACCATTGCGACCCTGGTCATGCCGCCTACCCTGGGGACAGACAGCAAAACGCCAGCCCAGAGCTTGATTGATTAACGTCGCGCGCGTGCTGGTTGTCTGATGCCCTTTTTAGTCCTGGTAGTGGCAGCTTTTTGGTGCCGAAGACCGCTTACCACCCACCGTTTACTTTCAGGCAGACCCGACGGCGCCCTCTTCCACCAAATCACCAACGCGTAGGCGAAAGGCAAAACGGATATAGGCTGGTGGACAAGAAAAGCAGTGAGCCCGCCAGACGGAGAACCCCATAGGGTCAAGCAGGGGGGGGGGCTAAGGGGGCGGGCGTGACGGCGACGACGCAACGTGGTGGCTGAGCGTGACGTTAGGATCCCCCCCCCCTCCCCTACAACAGCTCTACAGGGCGTTCAACATGCAGGGATCTCCAGGGAAGAGAAAGAGAGGTGTGGAGAAGAGGGCCCAGAAGGGATGCAGGTGGGTTGGTGGTGAGTGAGTGAGTAAGAAAGCAAAGGAAGAGCGTACAGACTGTTGGCGCCCAGGATGGGGTCGGGGGCTATGCTCTGATTGCGATGCCGACGCCGCGGGTCGTGCCGTGCGCGCGGCTGGACTTGCTGTGCATCTGCTCGCTGTTACTGTCTGTCTGTGGTGCATGTATGTCACTCTCTCTGTCAATCTGCCGATCCGACTCCTTCTTTTCAAGGAGAGGTACAAGGGAGGGCGATCATGTTCCATGACAGGGTGAAACGGGCGCGAGGGAAGCTTCTACTCGCTCCATGCTGGGGGCCGTACATGTACGGCGCAGAGAGAGAGAGATGAAGCAATCGAACGTGGCAACCGTCTGCGGTAAACGTGAGATGGTACAGGCCGTCAGAGGCAGAGACATATGTTGCCAAGCGGCCAGGCGGACACTCATGACGTTGTGAGATTTCGCTGCGCCACTACCCACACGCGGACAGGATAGAGACAAGCCAGACGAAGGCAGATACCCTGATGGCTTCAGGGCAGAACATACGATGGTTGAAAAGGCCAAATACAGGCAGCGGACACGGAGGTTCACACACACAGAGAAAGCGAAGTGCTGTGCTCTTCCGTGCAGTGTCTTGTTTGCGTCGTGCCGCCCGCGAGTGCCGAAGGGAGCCCGTCGACTGCCGAGCATAGAGTTCCCCCGACAAGATTAGATTTTCAGAATGATACAGAAAATCCAAATGCAAATCCATAGACCAAAAACCTAAAGCCCCCGAGTCTACCTGGGTCCCCTGACCTGTACGCGTTGGGCATCTCTGGGAAGAGGGGGGGAGGATTCCCCTTGGAGAGAAATGCTGTGCCCCGGAAGCCCGGACGCTACGCCTCTTCGTACTCTGCCCTCTCTCTTTCGCTTTCCCTTCGCATCGGATTCGGCATCGGCCCTCGTCGTCTGTCCAAAGTCCGCGACCCCGTTGGTCTAAAGAAGAGGCGCCCCGCCCTTCGCCTTGGTGTACCTGGTGCTTGACCTCATCGAGCTTTCTCAGCCTGGAACTCCATCCCATACCACGTTGGCTTATGACCGCATCTTGCACCATACCAACCTCATACGCTTTCCTACCTCTGCAACAGCAGCACCGCACAAAGAGACTTGAAAAATACATCACCCTGTAGAGGAGAAGCTCGAGATTGCAACGATACGCAGACCGATGCATCCGCCGCCATAATGTCGCTGCAATTTCTGCTCAACTCGGAGGACAGTGAGGACCGGAGCGCAGAGTGGTATCTCGCCAACACGCGAGTCGAGACGGACGTATATGGCTACAGCAGAGGACACGGCCACGGTGACAGCAGCACAAGGTCCGTTTTGTCTTGGTGTTTCGCGACCAACGAACTTGTTATTCTGTGGCTGTGAAGAAAAAAAAACTGACGATATCGTAGCACATCCACATCCACATCTCTGGGCTCTCGCGCCCCAGCATCCCCCGTCAGCAGGCAATGGACGCCGTTGAAGCCGGGTTCCAGCCACTCGACATGCGGCGGCCTGTCGCCGGGCAGCGACCACGGCGGCTATCCCACGTCGCCGGCGTCGTCCATGGGTCGATCGCACTCCAGCCGTCTCTCGCTGCGGCGACTCTCTCGAGCCGTCAGTCTCGACGACGAAGACTCGGCCGACGACGAGACGTGCGAGACGGTCTGCTACGGCATGGTGAGCCTCTTTCTGCCTCTCCCAGCGAACATGATTCATATCGAATGAGCCCGCAATACTGACTCGCGCCTTTTCCCCCTCAAGATCCACAAAGTTGATGTCAAGCTCATGGGCGATCTCACAACGATCGCCAAGAAACTGAAGCAGACCAGCCCCGGCTCGTCTTCCTCGTCATCCTCATCCTCATCATCAAGGCAGCAAAAGATCTTCATCGTCACGGAGCAGCCGGACCACATCCTGCTCAGCTCCCAGACGGCAGAAT